AGCGGTGTAGCGCAGAGGGTAGAGGTGCCGTGCTTGATACGTGATCCTTGACTCGTTACAACATACCGGTCTCACCAAGCATTCCATCCCTCCGGGGTCGGCAAATTGGCACCGTACTTGTGTAAAAGGAGAGTAACACCAACTTGATGCATTAGAATGCCATCACACGTCTGTACAGGCCAGACATACAGTCAACCATTTCTAAGAGTCTTATAAAGTGAAAATGCATTGGCCTTCTCTCAGAAGTAGATCAAAGGTGGGACCTTTACCCTTTATCATCTTCACAGAACAATACGGCCGGTGAGGCTCATGAGTTTGCAGTCCCGTAGAGATGTACATATGTTGACGATGTTATCACGTTATAGGGATGCTAAACAAGGAACACCGTAGAATGACACCTTGAACATAAAAAAGTCTCGTCTTGAGATTTTGTCATGAAATGGTGATGAAAAGGAGACGGAATACAAGGCAGATAATGTTATAGTCGTGATGGTCATTTTTGTTCGAACTTTTTGGGGGTTACCTGAATGTACTGTATAGACGAGGACGGCAGCATGATGATAATAATGTAGAAAGGACAGTGGCTTCTTTCTTAGAACAATAAACAATGTGTCACCAAGTTCGACTACCTAAAAATCATTTGTATAGAATACCAAATCAATAAATATAAATAGTTGACGAGAAAGAAAAACCCCACAGAAATTCCATCCACATGCCATGCAATCCCCATGCTCAAAATCTATCATGTTCGGAAGACTGGTAGATCATCTGTTAATCTCATAGTTCAAATGAAAATGCAAAGTTGTAAATTTCAAGCCCTGCGGAATTAAATCGCCCCCGTCTTCGTTCACTGGAAAATTCGTGGAGATTTCCAACCGTAATTTCAAATGCAGCTTGTGTCCAGTACAGAAAACATACGTGTTATATAAAATCCATATAAACATGATAAATACCGATTATAAGATGCGGTCACCTTAGAGATAGCGAAGAGGAAGCTCCAGAAAGCGGCGACGTCGTTCGGATGACACGAGTAGCAAAACGAGAAGTATATGCCGTTCGTGTAGAGCGATTGGAAAAAATCCTGAGAAAGCACGGAATTCACTGTATCTTGACAGCTGATAAAATCACTAGCAACACTGAGATATCATATCTGAGCCAATTGAGCTCAAAGCTACTTGTCCGGAATGACACCGTACATCTTTCTTGTATAGTGTGTCACTAACTTGGTGCTTCTTAGACACATTTTAAGCGAACGTTATTTAAGTCTTCGGAAGAAGTATTAGTGATAAATAGTATAGAACAAGATGCGAATTCCGCAGATGGTTCTATAGGAATTCAAAACTTATGAATGTAGGTTTAATCAGCTTGTTCAGCTAGCATGTGGCTGTTATGGAAATTTATTCGGCTAACGTTTCGGCGCTACCGTCTTCACCAGAGAATTAATGATTTGAGTTGATTGTTCATAGCCGTTCTTTATTGCGATGTGGGTCTTCGTAGTCGTATCTAGTCATGAAACGTCGATCCAATGAAAAATTTGTTGCAATCTCGAGGCCGATGCTGTGAATAACACGTGAGTCTTCTGTCAGCGCAGTAGCTGGTTCGAAGTCTTCGTGAGATTCCGAGTTAGGTCACACCTAAGCGTTCTTTTGGCTGTATTTCACTGAAGAAGCGTACTAATTATTTATGCTACACGTTAAGTGGAGCTCCATTTGAAAACCATGTCATCGCCGACAGTTTCGAGAAAAGTGTGTAACCCCACGAATGATTGCTAAAATGTTTATTATTTGATCAAAATACGTGACTGACACGCAGTGAGTGGATTCTTAGAAACGGTAGTTGGCCGAATAGACTCTACCTAAAAATAGGGCCATCGATGCTCTGGAGGAAGTGAAACCCGCCGAAAGGTTTGACATAGTGGTTGTTTGTACTTTGTGGCAAGGTTAATCAGACGCTGGTTACGGGAATGACCTTTCATGTTTCGAATTGTTCCTGCCATTATTTTACTTCATTCATCTAGCATTGCTCACCAAAATAATGGACAAATTACAAAAGAAATAACGAAGGTAATATTTATCAAACACAGAGCGGCAAGCCACCTCATCTGCGCTACGTAACAAAGAAGAAATAATCACAATCTTAACTCTTTTATTTACTGCCTTTTTCTTCTTAATGGCAGAGTATGTTGTGAAATATAACTCGTATGAAGTGCTGAGATATTTGCAAACTCCGGACCACAGGTGTATGCAGTGGGGAACGAACACGCGCTGTTGTCCTTACCGGGGAGCAGCGCACTTCACCACTACACCATCCGGGTCCTTCGTCTTGCCTGTCTCTCAGCTAGTTCTATCGATCTTTTTGCCATCAGCAATCACCCGTCGACGGGATTGATCTGGGGAGCCAATATCGGCATTGAACCCACGTGGTGGTGAAATGCATTTCTTCTCGAAAAGGACAATAGCACGCGTTCGCTCCCCACCGCATACACCTGCGGTCCGGAGTTTTGCAAATATCTCAGCACTTCATACGAAAGAAGAAATACTTGGTTATTTAGACGGTCCTTCTTCACGGTTTGTGCGAACCTCAGACTTTTGGCATTCCATTCTTTCCCTCGCAATCGTCGTCCATAGCGTTGGTTTCATTGAAGCACGGTGGTACGAGCGAGTCTCATACGGTGATCTGCAAAATAACTGCATATGCGTGTACAGCTGATTAACTTTGTTTGCGAACACGTCCGCCCAATGTGTAAGTGGCCGTTCCTGGAGAGGCCACTAATGGGGTCCACCCTACAGTTCTTTTCGCCCATCTGTCGTCCGTTCTTCTTACTATGTGGCCCACCCAGCTTTGTTTCGCTATCGATGTTTATTCTTCTGGATTCCGAAGATGTGAAAAATTTCGAAGATCAGAGCTTCGCACTTCGGCTAGATATTGAGTGTGCCAGTTATATATCAGAAGACATCGTTTAAGCACTCTGTGAGAGGGCGGAGTACTCTTGACGTGGTTGAAGTGTCATCCCACGTTTCTGCAGTATAACAGCGCGTTTGGAGGACCATTGAATCGAAAAGATGAGCGAGGTAGCTCGGCTCCTTCAGTTGGTCGGTGGCTTTTTTGATAGGCTCGAATACAGCCTAAGTTGCTTTCCTTTTTCTGTATAGTTCCTCCTTCATGCTGTTTTCCATCTTAATTGATCGTCGAGGTATACTTACCAGGTGGTCTCTGCAATTAGAGAGCCATCCAGTTCAATTTGTTCGCCTTCGCACTATCAGTTTTTCATGAACTAGGTCTTCTTCGGATTTATGCGTAGTCCGACCTTTTCTCCCGCATTGTTGAGCTCCTTGATCATCGTCTCTGCTTTGCTCGTATTTCTTGGGAAGATGACAATGTCGTCGGCAAAATGAAGGTTTGACAGGAATTTTCTATCAATACGTATGCCTTTCTCATGCCAGTCCAGTGACTTTATTATACGCTGCAGTGCGGCACTGAACGGCTTTGGCGATTTTGTGTCGCTCTGTCGAACCCCTTTTCCTATGCGTATTGTAAGAGGCCGATGGAAAAGCTGCATTTTCGTAGCGCACCTCCGATAAAAGTCGGACAGAGTCCTTATGTAGGACGGCTCCACTCCTTGGTCGACAAGCGCTAACAGGATTGCATTCATTTAGACAGTGTCAAACGCTTTTTCATAGTCGAGAAAAGTTAGGACTAGAGGCAGGCGGTATTCTTGGCAAAGTTCGATGATGATGGATACAATTTGGTTGTGATCTATGGAAGAAACCCTCTTCGAAATCTTGCTTGCTTCACTGGTTGCGCCTCATCCAATGTCCTTGATATGTGCGAAAAGACAATTTTCGAGAAGAGCTTGTAGGGTACACTCAACAAGCATACCGGACTAGAGTTACGTAGATTCCTTCGGTCGCCTTTCTTATGCAGGATGACCGCGCCCGACGTCCTCCACTGGTCTCGGAGTTTTCCCTTTTGATTGTAGGCTGTCGTATGGTTTCCGAGAAGTACATGTGGACTGTGGCTTCCAGCTGTAAGGAAATCGGCGGTAATATTATCGAGGCCTGGAGCTGTGCCTTTTACCGTGATTTACAGTACAACTTGAACCTAAGAAGGAGCTATAGAAAACTTCCCTCTTAAAGAGTTCTCTAACTATCTAAACAATAGCAGTTGATGTCGATACCATGGCCGTATCGCAGCGTCACGGCCATGCAGGAATGTAACTTTTGTGGTCTACTCGGTCAATTACGTTCAGCGTTTCAGGCAACAGCGGTTCAGGTTTGACATGTATCGCACAACAGCGATAGCTTATCCGAGAGTGAAGGCATAGCTGTAGAACAGTTAACTATTTCTTTGTGAAACAACGAAGCCAATAACGTTGATGTTTTAGGCAGTTATGTGCAGTCTATTGTAGCCTAGGGTCTACGATTTAGATCAGCTGCAGTTGTATGCACACGCGGCTTCCGCAGCGTATGTAAGCCATATGCCATCGTCGGCGTAGACATGCCATCACTCGCCTCACCACCGATCGGTAGTATGGCTGATCCACCCCTTGAAAAATCATCCTCAGCTATCCTCAGTCACCTCCAGTCATTATCAGCCATTCTTAGTCATCCTCAGCAATTCACAGTTATCCGCAGATTCACGTAATTTGTTTCCTAGCTACCCTATGGTACGCTGCGAAAGCGGAGGGTGTTTCCAAATGCGTCCTGCTTGCAACGCCATCGGTGGCATGCACCATTTCTTCCACATGGTACGTCATGCGTACAAGGCCGCTGATCGGCCAACTTATGCTGTATATCTGTTAAGCCGCCACAGTCGGCTTATCAATTCTCAGTCGCTATTTTTCTGGCCTATGATATCTCTTAGGCAGAGGGCACCCATCGATGCTCAAACTTCACCTTACAGACATAGCGTTGTCCACGATCGGCCGCCTGACTGTGTTCCGTAGATGCCTCATCAGTCGATGTCCATTGCACCATGAATTCTCGTGTAACTTACTGCCCTCATTGACCATTCTTAAAATACTCCTCACCGTTATCATGTATCATGTTGATTTTTAGCTCAGCCGGAAACGCGAGCTCGTCTGTATTCCTATCCGTCTCCAGCATACTGTCTCCTTCAGCTGCCACACCTGCCACCGAAAGAGCGAGCGCGACATCGCCCATGGCTAAGCAGCCGTTATTCTCCTGTTGTTATTATTGCTATTATTATTGTATTAATGATGTAATAATACTCCAATGCCATTATCTCGTATTAGCTCACTTCGCTACTAGCCATAGCACACCATAACTTAAATTTGCGTGATTCTTATGTAAGTACTTTTCTGCCGTTATTGTTATGTTATTAACGGTATATTTATGTACATTAGAGGTTTAATTACCCAAGTTTTAACATTGATACATCGCTTCTCCGACTCACGAAGACCCACACGTCATCTTCGCGCACCTAACTCGCTCTTCATTACAAGAAGAATTCCAGGTGGTTCTTATCTAGCGGGGAATTTAGGGTGTGAGACGGGGATTGTAAAGCTTAAAGGGTTGGTGTAGAACTCCTCTGTTATTGTTTCCATATCATGATCGAAAGTTTTGGAGAGGCCATCTTTGTTCATCAGTGCTGACAGTGGAGTAATATAATCGCACAACTCCAGACGACATTTTTTCCGACCGGTTCTTTTTTTTCGTGCTTCTAATAGTCTCTTTTGCCTATAGCGATGTAGATCTTTCTGCAAAGCTTCTCTGTAGCTGGCATTTCTTGCCAGCAGTGTTAAACGTATTGCAGTAGGATCAAGCTTCAGTTTCTTTCTCTTTTCGAGCAACTCCTTAGTAGTAATGGATATGCGATCTTGCTTGAGGAAATGAGGCGAATTCGGCACAGCTTTTCAGACCTTCGACAAGCACCTCTTAGTTTTCGATTAGGTCTGCTTTAATTTGCCTGTCATGTTTGGATAGGATTCAGTTCAGATTTCTATCTCCACATACAGCTTAACTTTTTTTCGTGGTTGATGGTATTCTTCTCCGGCTCACGGCTGAATCGAATCCTCGGGCGGATAAGAACAGAATGACGGGACCACCAATATGTCAAGTGCGCACTATCTTCTATTTGTTAGAATGTGGTCGACCTCCATATGATTTATGCAGACAGGAGACTCCTATGTCAGAGGCGGTTTTCTTTCTTATAGAGAAGCGAGCTTTCATGGAAGAGACGTGCTGCAGACAGGAGTCCTGCGAGATGGTTTTCATTTTCATTTCTTTGTCCTAATCCAGAATTTCCGGTCCTATATTCGCTGTCATTGGTCTTTCCTATTCTGACATTGAACTCTCCGGCAAAAAATTTATGATATGCTTTATCATTGTGGATAACTTCCTCCAAATGTTGCGCCGGTTGGTGAGTTGCAATTGATGACTGTGATCTTTTTACGACGCGTCAGTTGAAGACGGAGGAGGGCTAAGCGAGGGGAAAGGATCTCGCATGAGCGGACGACGTGGACAGTGGACGGGGTACACGACAAGGCCTACGCCACCCACATTTCGTGACGGGACCTTTTTCCACGGGTGACAAAGGTCCTGTATTTTAAAAGGCGTATGTCGGTTTTCTTGATTTTTGTTTCCTGTAGCGCTATCACATAAAATCTAATGCGATTTGCGGCTTGAAGAAGGGCGTGAAGATCGGCGTCTGTGGAGAGTCTCTAGGCATTATGCGCTCAGAGTAGGAAACAGTCTCCATGACGTGTCGTGCGTGTGCTCGTCAGGTCCCCGGTTCCAGTGACGTCCCTCGTAACTCAAAATTTTGTGGACCCTCACCGACTTCCATACCGCCTGAAATCATTGGCGGGAGCACCCAGTGCACGTGGTACTGAGGCTGGCCTATTGCTGGTTGTGCAGTTCTTAGCTGAAGCCCTGAATTAACCTTGCAAGGACGTATAGGTCTCTACCACTTTGTGGACCCGAAGGAGGTGTCTCTTCAGCGACCAATCCTTCCCTCCCTCTTCTTACTAGTTGATCCGGAAATGATTTAAAGCAAAAGCGTAAGTAATTAAGCCTTAAAAACAGAATTGGAAAATGTTATTTGGCAGAGAAAGATATCGAAACCTGTAATCAGATCAAAATGATGTGTTGTTTGACAGTTATCGATACAATTGGGCATCTAACAGAATAGAATTGAAGAGTTTTTGCTCACCTCTGAGTATCTAATAAATCCGGCTATGCTGAAGACTGCCAGTGCGGTGTTCCACAAGAAAAGCGTTGTCTTCAATGAGAACGGTTCTCTTTTCTCCATGAAGTGGTGAATGCCTAAATCTACATGATAAACAGCAGCAGGCAGAATGTCGTCGTCTCAGAGCACTCACCTTTCATGATGACGAAGTAGGAGATGGAGATGGTGATCGAGTGGGCCCAGTAGCGCTGGAACACCTCCACGGTCCACCCACGAGGGTCGTCGATTCGTTCGAAAGGCAGTGCATACCTAGCGCACGCAATATTTCGTGAGCGAACTTAGAAAATTAGAACGCTGCGCTGACTTGGAGCTCGTGTTTTCATAAGCAGCGCTTTGTTCTAGTTCGTCGAAGCTTCCAAAGACGTAGCTTAGTTGGAAGTGGCCTCTTCTCCTTTCTTATTAAAAGCTCACTGATAAAAAACTACGCAAGTTAATTAAGTGAACCTGCTTTGCGATAAATTTAGAGTTGTGCCATTTTTCCACAAATGTAATAGAGTCTTCGACGTTTTTCGATAGAAGCCCCGAAATACTAAACTAAAAACAGTTCCGCTCAGGCAAGGTATTTCATCAAGAATTCCGTCTTTTTCAGCCACCTATCGGTTTTCCTTTTATCGGTTTTTTCACTTTTACCTTACTCGGAGCCGTTTCTAAAAAAAACTGTTTGAGGCGTTTTAGAAAAACTCGAAATTTACTATGCAACGACATTCAACAATGTTCATCTTGGTCATCGGACTCAAATAATGCTCCAAAGCATGCTAGTTTCTATCAAAAGATGGTAATAACGACGTTTTGTTTTCGGCGGATCGAGTCATGTAATGCCACATCTTCAATCTTAACGTGGCGATCAAAGCGGAGAATGAATGTAACGAGTTCTACGAGATTCTAAAAATTACGTAGTATATACCCAGACGTGGCCAACAGAGAAGAGCCAATTCTCCTGAATGACAATGCTCAGCCCCAGGATGGTGCCTTTTAATGCTTCATTAGTTGAACAAGTGGGACTTTGAGGCCAATATCCTTTTCATTCAACATGCTCGCGAAGCTCCCACTAATCAAACCACTGCTTTTACAAGATCTCAACAAAACTAGTTAAGGAATTTTTCAAAAACAATCTGTAGATAAAGACTTTTCAGGAGGACCCACCACCCTAAGAACTTTAGAATTCTTTCTTATCGGAAAAACTAAACTTGCACTTTGTGTGCGAAGTGTGTAGAACTAAGTTGTTATACTTCTTTTTAGTAAAAGTCTCTTTGAGCCTGACAATGCAAAATCACAACTTTCTCCTAAACCAAGAGTACAGCAAGTTGTTTGAAAAACTATACCAGGCTATCCACAGACTTCACGAAGAACAGTTATCGTTAATCTAGTCCCGCTCGTAACAGCACGGCTCTGAGGAAGGCTAAATCGCGGAGAGGTCAGCCATCAAGTAGCAATATCAACAACAACAGCTGCACCGACAACGAAAACAACAACAGCAACGACAACGACAACAACAATAGCAACAACAACAACAACAACAACAGAAACAATGACAACAACCGTCTTCGTCTAGCACACAAGTTGCACTCCCGTCATGAGTCTTCGCACGTCGTCATGATTGGACAAGATTCACTTTCGTCTCAAACCGCCAACCGTCTTGTTCTTTAGAGACTGGTGCTAGTGGCCTTCTTGGGACCTATAGTGGCCTTACGGCTGCTTTGTTCTATTAGCCAGAGTCTGAATTTATTCCACACAGACGCGAAAAAGCACCAGCAGTCGTGTTGAGTTTCGTGTCTCAGCGATGCTGTCGAAGAAGAAGACAAGGCAGCTAATAGACTTGTGTCACTCAAATCTCATAAACACATATAGTAATTTGTACGGCGACTTGATCACGATTGATTTATTGGCCTTCTAGTTGATTTAACCTGTGTGTTGTTCCATAGATAAGGTAACGATTTGTAGGATTATTTGGGACTGTTATTATGTATTGCCAGCAAAGCTTTTTATTTAAAGAATTATTTGATTTTTATTGTGAAAAAACGAGGAGAATGACGTAATGACTAACAAGAAATTACAATGCATTTAACAGTTTCATAACTAATGAGTCTTTTCATTTAAAAATTTGCTTAACTGCCTCCTGTGCAGTTTCCTCCATAGCCCGAAATGCTCAACCCCTAAAGTAGATCTTTTAGGTCTTAGGTCAAATTAAAGAACTTTAGGGCATTTGTTTGCTAAGCACTGCTTCATCTTATGCCCAGTCCCACCCTCTCCTACGTCTATTACAAATACTGGCGGCAGATGTAGTTGCTCTTTTCTTTCCTTGTTACTTTTTGGTTCAGTTTATCATCTACAATTCCATACTTCTTACTTTGAAGCAGCAGTGAACTAAATATGGTCATATTAAAGTTTGGAATTAAAGAAAAGCAGAATCTCTTCGGTTTGAAGAAGAACGCGAGGTATTACAGTGTAGTGACAACTCACTTATAACGATAAGTGTCCTGATACATGCTCTTGTTTTCACGGTAAGCCTTGAATTCGTTTAGATGGCGAAGAAAATCCATATGCGGTTCTGATGGTCGGTTCTGGAAGTCTGTCGACAATAAGATTTTATAAGGAAAGATTTCCGGAAACAATATTGAAATTGTTGTTTGAGAACAGGACTTCGTAATGAACAAAAGAAAATTTTCCACCTGCCAGAGAAAAAAGACATCGATAAGAATAATGTGACATGGTGGACCATTGAGGCAGAAATATGATTTCTAACCAGAATCTCCTAATTAGCACTACATCATGTAGCCGCACAGCAGTGCCCATTTCGGATTAGCACTCTTTCACTAACAGTCCCATCTTCTCTATAGCTTTATGGATTATCAATGATATGAAACGGGAAATGGTCATGTATATTGCTCGTTATAACCAGTGACCAGATAGAGCGTTACTAAAAGTTCGTTTCTGCGCATGGTGCACCGAAGACAAACATCTCATTCAGTACCCCATTTTCCGTAACATGGTCTTAACACTGTAACACTAGGTACGGAACATGCACAACAATTGCGAGTCAAGGAAACGAATGGAATATGTGCTGAGGTCCGCACAACTCGTGAACACGGGACGCCCAACTACCCAGTCACCCAAGTAAGGTACACACCTTCTTATGATTTCGAAGATCTTATTCGTTGGAGGCGTTGCTGAGCAGCTTCTTGTGGACTTTTCTACTCCGATTACAATATTTTAGATGCGCTTGTTATAACAACTTACGCCTACGGAAGTTTATCCGAGAACATTTTCATTAATCCAATTCTTTATTTTTCAACGTATACGCCAATATGGTATGTTAGGGATAGTGATCCATCTTCCGAATCATCCGTTGTCCTGTGGTAGTTACATGGCCATTTTTATTTTACATTTAGCCTATTCCACTATTTGGCCACATTGCGACTAACCGGCTCCAGATGTCTTACGTGAGAGAGATTTATGGAAGTCGATCAGTCGATAATGAAATGGCTAAATTAGTTCTTAGGGAAACTAGATTATAGTTGGGATAATGTGAGTGCCACCACTATTCCACGAACGTATGCTAAAAATGACTACCTGTGTTAAGACAAAACAACTTGTGCTTAATATATTTGGTCAATGGGACATAGGTCTTCGAGTTAGGTATCGGATAATTACCTCGAATTTGTACTATTTTCCTACGCGGGACTTTTTTCTCTTTGATACAGAGTGCAACCACGAGCTGGAGCTATTATGCTGATAGAAATAACAATACAATTCTAGCAATGTGACGATATAGAGGAGGGTGAAGGATATAAGTGCTTGCACCGGGAAGGATCCTCGGTGGGAGTTCTGACAGGGAGATTTGGAGAGGATTGTGTGGAGCAGACTGCTGAAGAGCAAGACCAAGACTGGGACTAACTAATGCATTGAAAAAGCTGCTTATGTATACAATGTGATACGCAGCGCGCAACCAGAGCAGTTGAGGAAATGGTCTTGAAGAGGGTGACAAAACCTCGCTCTTTAGACAAAATTGAGCAGTGCAAGACGAGTGCATTTCCGGTTTAAGGAAAACCTAAGCAATAAACATATTTTTGGAAGCAGAATTTTGAAGATTTCGTCGGGGAGTGTGTGTCCTCCGGAAGAAATCGAAGCAGTTGTCGGTAGCACAGCTTGAGAAGCGATCGTGCCAGAACCTGCCTCAAAATGCGGAGACAGTCGAGCTTCTGGTTCTTCACCAGTGCTCCAAGAAAAGTGTTCGACTACTCTCAAGCCCTAATAGAGGTCTGTATATCTCCATTAATCGTAGTTGTTATAGAATTTTTGCCTGGTGCATTGGTTGAACAGTTATCTGAACTAATAGCACAACACTACTACCCTGAAACACCACTCCGCTGCGCATTGATTTCAGTACGTGCACTGCGAAAATATTGGTTGCTATCAATTCTAGATGCTCCCAACGTATTGTTCAATTTTCCGCTGTTCTATTAACGTTGGAAACTTTAAAAAGGCGGATTTCTGCTTTATTTTTGGGGATTTTAATTGTGGACGAATTTAAATGGAAGATGTGTTTAAATTGCCGAGCTTACATCAGGTCGATAAATAGACTTTATTCAGCTAGCGTTTCGACGCCTCCATCTTTCTCAGAGCCAAAGATTCGACTCCGAGGTGATACTAAGTGGAAGAATTATTTCAGAATGTGGTGCGAATGTGGAATGTGGTGCGATAGAGCAGTTTCTTTCATAAGGCTACAAAGCGATTTGCTTCTGAAGTATGCTAGTTGTCCAGAAATTATCAACAGTTTTCGAAGAGGCCACCATCGTCAGAAGCGGGCCAAAATCCAAGAAAATAGGAATGGTGTGCCTACTGAATCTGGGATATAGTGTGGTGAATAATTTTCTTTTTTCAAAAAATTGTGAATATGGTTGCATTTAATAATGGACCGGTTTTTCTCAGTGCTTTGACCGATTCTAAAGCATTAACAGCAGTTGTTCATCAATTTTTCGGCATAATAGAATGGCTTACTAATGATGCTGAGATATTTGCAGAACTCCAGACTGCAGATGTCTGCGGTGAGGACCGAACGCGCTATTATCCTTTCCCGTCCTTTTGTCCTTTTGATTGATCAGATCAATCCCGGTGATTGCTCATGGCAAAAGATCGATAGAACTGGCTCAGAGACAAGCGAAACAGAGGACCCGCATGGTGTGGTGGTGAAAGCGTTACTCCCTGGGAAGGACAATAGCGCGTCCGTTATATATATATATATATATATATATATATGCATATATATCAATAAACCATTTATATATATGTATATATATCATTTATATATACATACATATATATCAATAATTATATCTCAGAATCATTGAAAGTTATATTTCGCAATATATACCCTGCCGTTAAATAGAGTAGCAGTAAATAATAAGTTAAAAAGAATGCCTTGTGTTTTGAATCTCAACAAGTTTTTCGCAAGACAAATAATAAAATAGCTGTTGCATTCCATTTGCTAGGAAAAAAAAGACAGAGATTTGCATGGTCTATTTATCGTGACGATCGTTCCAGTTTCTCAGCATCATTGCAGACACTGGATTTTGGCTGTTCATCCTTGCGCGCCACAGCTTTCTATAGATCGGCCCCAGTCCGTCAGTTATAGCTGAGAGGACGGGATGCATGAGGCTTCTTGGTTTCGTCTGATTCAAATAGTTGCCAACTACCTTCATGCCTTTGGTGAATTCGAGAAAAAAATCGCCAAGTAAGTTATTTTGCTTAAAAAGTCCGTCCCCACCGCCTTATTTAAAAATAGTGATAACCCAAAGCAGTGGAAATCATTTGCTGGTTAGCAAAAGGTTTGCAGCAAAAGCAAAAACAAAACTTTGCTGGGTTGTAATATGGAATTCCATCGGTTGATCGCTGGCAGCACTAGGCAAAGAAAGCGGTGAGCAAAAATTTCTCAATTTTGACAAAAAACTTGGGAAGTTGATCGATGTTCTCGCCAGAGGGAAAAATTTAAAACGGTCAAGGACGATGTAGTCAAGAAAAGGTAACGGTAAAAAGTTGTTCCGAAACGAACTCAAAAGGGATTATGAGATATGCAAAGTGAAAGAAAAATTTTTTTTATAAATTCATCATTAAAAATTTAATAAACTAAGTGAATTCAAAAAAAACCTGACATGAGCTCAATGTTTCAACTATGAACCTCTAAAATTGTCGTATCTAACTTCTTTAAAACCTCCAACATTAAAATTACACTACACAGATTACTTTTTCGTAAGAGTACTGAAGATGGTGATAAAAAATGAGAAGAGGCGTAGAAGACTAAACTTCCTGGACCTCTACCAGCCCTCTGGAAAACCTCCGGATTTCGCCCCGAAAATGAAAAGAGTCGACGCCTTATCAAACAGAGACCAGTGATGGAGCGCAACTCGCTCCGAAGCATGTCACAGAGGACAGAACGGTCTCAGCTACGGATAACTGCGGCTTAGTGGTCAATCTGAATTATTCAGTCATCTGTCTTTACCAAGCTTTTATCCAGTTGTTGTAGATGACTGGAAGGAGATTTCTTATAGCAGATCCAGTCCTTTACCAATGAAGACCAAGAATCTTGAATGGGGATAATTAGAGCATACGGCCGAGTTATTAAAGAAACTAAGAACCGATCTTCTTATTTATTTCTTGTTTAAGCGAGAATATTAGGTAAGCTTAAACTTCGTTGGTTTTTTGGTAGTTTTAGATTCTAAAGTTAGGCTTTCAATAGACCTACCGACTAATAGCTAATTTATGTTTGGTGTACTTTCCTTCTTAAGCCAATACGATGTTGTTATGACCCGTTCTCGATTAACAATGGCTGTAGTGTCGGCCGTCACTCCCTTTCACACATTTAGATAATTTTTTTTTCGATTTTTTAAGAGTTCCCGCCTTTTTAGGTGCAGTTTTTCAAGCGTTGTGCACTGAAAAGCAGATGGGCGGTACGTAAAATTACAAATTCTGCTGCAAAGTAAATCCGCTTTGCCGAGAAGCACGAAGGGTATCAGACTTTTCGTAGGAAACCTTTTTTGTCAAAGGAAAGAAACAGTGAGAAATTTGTTCAGGTTTCTACTAGGTACTAGATGTTGGATAGAGCACGTATAGCACGCATTAATGAATAATAGGGAGATTTTTAAGAAGAAGCATTGCTGAAGTATGGAATTATATTGGAGCGTCGGCATCGCACAGCGATCTCTTTTGAAATATTATTCTTAGATGAAAATTAAATTCAGCTTTTTATTTACTTTCTAAGGCTGGGCACAAAACTCTGGTAAATTCAAGCTTAAAAATCGCTGTGGACTCATTTTCCGTGGAAAGAAAATCCTTAGCTGCCTTTATAATTGTTGTTTGGAATTCAGAAATTAGCGCGAGAAATATTGTAGGCTTGTGAAATAAGCCAACAACCTTATGAAGAAGAGGCACATAGAGTAGCTATAAAATTCTTGGAAGTTTTAGTAGACGTAAAGGTAAACGTGGAAGAGTGTTCTCATTGTTGAGAATTGGATTTCGCTCGGTATCGCTAAATATACCGGTTTTG